ACAGAAATTGCTGGAAAAGCACAATGGGTCTGGCAGTATCTGTGGAGAGAGAAGCAGAGTGAATATTTCTAGCCCAGTGACTTTTCTTCAGAACTTGTGTTTTTTGATAAGGGATGCTTGCTTTCATTTTTGACAACTCCTTCCACCAGTTTGCAAGTTGTTGATTTGAGTAGCAGTTGGTCATGTTAAATTTGTCTGATTTTAATGTGTAGGATATAGCTGCACAAAAAAGAAGTGCTTTATTATGTAATGGTTGTGCGCCAACCTCTGTGTTAGAAGGCCTGGGCTAAAGTCCCACCTGCTCCAGATGTGTTGTCATCTCACATCTGAACAGATTGATTTAAAAATATCTATATCTGGCCATCAAAAAAGGACCTTGTGATGCAGTGGTCACGTTCCAACTTGTGGACCAACGGCGGTCTGACTTGCTCTAGAGTTGTCTAAACAGGTCGATTGAAAATATCTATCTATAGTTCAGCAAATTTCCACATTACCTTTTAGATGTCACTATTATAGCTGCACTGGAGCAGTTCGTTTATTTCTGGGGAGCAGGCCTTCAGCACTGAAGATTGGATTTTTACAGGCCATAAATTCTATGCTGTATTTAATATACACAGCTATTTCTTGAAATTATGTAGAGTAAATTTAACTAGTTGAAGATTGGTTTCTAACTGCGGGCAGCTGAGAAGGATCATCTCCATGGTATTTCTGGCTAAAGGTTGGGGTCCCTCCGGTGGCACACTGATAATGTCCTTCCCTTTGGACCAGGAGGCTTGGGTTCAAGTCCCATCTATTCCAGAGGTGTATAATAACATAGATCTAAACAGGTTGATTAGAAAATATCTTCTAGTTAAAGATACTTTTAAATGCTGTATTCTTGTTGATTTGTGTTGTGCTGGCCTCATCATCGTCCAGATTGGCAATATTCATGACACCACTTCCTTTTAATTACATAATTATATGCCATCATTCATCATTTGAATGGAACAAAACTACAGGTTTGTAGCTCTGTCCATAGCATGCTGTTTAATACACACACAGTTCTGTTTAGTTGCTTCACCAGGCTGGCACCTCATAATTCTATTCCTGGCAATGGTGCAAGCATGTTGTTGTTGGTCATCAGACAGCAGATGGTGTGACTCCAGTCCAAATTTATTAATAGGAATTGCTTGCGTAATTTTATATGAAGCCATTTTATATTGCGCAAGAAGCGAACCATGCTAAAGGGAACAAACTGTCTAGCGTGCCATTCATTTCTGCTTAATATAAAAGAGTAGTGTGATAACAAGCAGATCAAAATGTCTCCCCTTAAATGAAGCAACTGGAATGAACTTCTCCCATTTCAAAATTAGGTGATTAGATGTCCAGTGACATCTGTTAGTGACCTTAAGGCATTGGCAATGTTGTATATGGCTGCACATTAAACTTGCTGTATGTTGTGTAGCATTTAGTTGTGCAGTTTGCTTGCATTATCTCTTCTCCCCTGACCTGCCGCCATAAACCTTGGAAGTACTTGTCTCCCCTTTATCCTGTAATACTATGTCATTAGTCTACCTACATGACAGTATTTATTCCATCATTTGAAAAAGGCAACCTGCTTACATTGCATTTCTGAGATGTAGGGAGTGTTCTTAACTACCAATTAATAACAGTCTTTCTGTCTGTTTTTGCACTCAAAATCAAACTAACACCGAGAGTGAGTGTGACCCTTAATATTGTTAAGATCAAGAGACAAATTTTACTGCCGGGTGAATATGATCGACTTCTGGCCCAGTCTGGATGTTGGTGGTGGAGGTTTGGTGGCCCTGCTATTGTTCATGCCTGTACATCTGAATGTTACGACCAAGACTCATTGAATTAGAAAAATAGAAAATAGGAGTAGGGCATTTGACTCTGAACTGGTGCTGCTTCTGACACTCCAAGTTTGGTTTAATTACTTACCTTCTTTACAACAGAAGCTTTAATTCTGTTCCACCATTCATTATGATCCTGGCTGATCATCCAACTTTTTAGCATGTTCCTGCTTTTCCCCCATGTCTTTTTAATGCCTTTAGCCCAACATGCTATATTCAACTCCTTATTGAAATTACGCAATGTTTTGTCCTCGATTGCATTCTATGTCCAAGAATTCTACAGGGTTACCACTCTTTGGGTGAAGAATTTTTTCCTGATCTTCATGCTAAATGGTCTACGTCATATACTTAAACTGCGACCCATAGTTCTGGATTCCTCCATCATCGGGTGCGTCCTTTCTGCATTGACCTTGCCTAGTCTTTTTTGAATTTAATAGGTTTCTATAAGATTCCCCCCCGCCCCAATTCTTCTGAATTCCCCAAGTAAATATAATCCTAACTGATTTAATCTCTCATCATGCATCAGTTGTGCTATCACAGGAATCAGTCCGGTAAACCTTTGTTGGACTCCCTTTATAGCAAGAACGTCCTTCCTCAGATAAGGAGATCAAAGTGCACAGGCGTGATCTCATCGAAGCCCTGTAAATTTGCAGCAAAATATCCTGGATCTGTGCTCAAATTCTCTTGCTATGAAGGTCAACACACCATTTGCCTTCACCGCTTGCTGGGATCAAGTGAATTCCTGGAAGAGTATAGGACAGTGGGAGTAAAATAACTGTACTTAAAAGGGAAATTAGGAGAGCATAAAAGGGAGATGAGATAGCTTTGGCAAATAGAGTTAAGGAGAATCCAAAGTAATTCTGTAAATACACTAAGAACAAAAGAGCAAGTAGGGAGAGAATAGGGCCCCTTAGAGATTGAGTGTTTGTGTGGAACCATAGTAGATAGGTGAGATACTAAAAGAATATTTTATGTCAGTATTTACTGTGGAGAAGTACCTGGAAGCCAGAGAACTTGGGGAAATAAATAATGAATCTTGAAAAAAGCTCTTATGACTCTATGTCTACATTTCCCTCATGTCATAGTGGGCTTTAGTGACCTAAAGCATAAACTGATTCTAGGCTAAGTTATTTCTTTCTTCTGTGCTGTTGAGTTAATTTAGAAAGTTCATGGTTTCTCACATTGGCAGATATACGTTTGCTCTAAATTTTTAAAATAATATGTGATACATTATGCTTTTACAAAATAGCAAGTGCTTCTCTGTCTTGGTGGAAACAATGCACCTGAAGAAACTGGGTGTGTTTGCTATTGTCCAAGTGTGTGTTAATGGGACAATAAAACACCCTAACCTTAACCCTATCGCAAGGCATTAATCCAGTTTAAACAATGTTGGCTTTTGCCAAACATGTATATGTGACCTTTAGTATTTACAACGAACAACGATAATCATTAGACTATAGTTTCCATCAGTGTTAAAGTTGCAGCAATTACAGCTGACCTCAAAGAAAGCTGCACTGAAATATCTAGTTATCTGTGAAGAGAAATTTGTTCGCTGATCGGAATTCCCAGCTCCAATATGCAGTGATGTTATCAAGCTGTATAAGGATAATTTTCAAATAGCCAAGTAGAAAATGAAAAGCATTAATAACAAATCCACTTTTAAAAATGATTTTACAAAGAATAAAGATTGGGACATATACTTGGTTTCAAAGTAGAGGTTGAAATACTGTTTTTGAAAATCTGGTAATTAGTTATGGAGAAATCTAAATGATGTTTCAGTTTTTTTTCAGTGAAAATTTGTTGCCAACTCCATGTTGTTGCTCATATAGTTAAAAAAAGATAGTTGTACCTTATTTGAAGGAGACTTAACCTTTTACGGTCTTCTTCATTTAAATTATTTCAATGGCTACTGGTTTGAGAAGAGCTTTAGATGGTTGTGTTGAAGATTCACCGCATAGCCTATGGAGGAGTAGACCATATCTTAGCGTGCACTTGCAATAAAATCCTAAAGTTGTTATTTAATTCAGAGGAGTAATGATGGTGACATTCTGTAAAATCCTGGGCTAGTATCTTCCTGCTCTTGAATATTTTTCCAAATGTAATTGTTTAATTGCCTTAATGATAAGAGGAATGAATTTCTGTAAAAGTTATGTATGTGACCCTTTCATCCAAAGTAAAATGAAATCATGAAGAGGGCCATATGACCCTCTTACTTTTGCCCTGCGATCAACCCATCTGACCTAGTTTCTTGTAGGGACAAAAAACTAAATCAGAACCTATTGAAAGCTCTAACATCTGGACATAAGAGAAGGCAACTGACCTACCTGCTGCCCACAATTGGGAAAAGTGAGCCCACAGTTGATGTTATGGTGCCAAGCAGTAGAAAAAGACTGTGTTTGGGATGATCACCAAGTGAAGGGCTGGTGAGCACAAGGCCCATGTTGGAGGAAACAAGGCTTGTGAAAGTTTAGAGACCACAGAATCACCAGATGGATTCTTACAACAAGGAGTTCATTTGATTATGCTTAAAAGGTTAAATAAAGAAGTTTGCAGGATGCTGGAAGATTCACCTTAGTGCGATAGGGAAAAGAGACCATGTTAACACCAGGCAAAGTTGGACTTCAAACTCAAGTCTGCATGTCTACTAAGAGCGCAGTATAATTTACAAACACTGAATGAATGGGGTTTTCTGTTATGTTAGAAGTGAAATGGGAAATACTTATCTGTAGCTTACTTAAACTATATGCTAGTTGCCTAGGATGTTTGTTACAGTGAAAATCTTGGAATGCGAAGTCTTGTTGTGTGATCTACTGAATTAATCATCAGGAAATTCATATCTCTCTGGTTTCTACAGTGATTGTAGAGATAAGTGCAGCCTAAAAGTTGGTATAGGTCAGCCTATCCAGCCTATTCACAACCTAGCATCCAGCAAACCTTTGATCATACATTGGGAGTGATGGTCACTACCGAACACAACAAAGCAACATGTGTCAGACATTTTAATGATCCCTTCACTGAGCAACTAACAAAACTGGTCCTGACCCTGTATGTTGGATAATATATATTTTACTACATTATTCTTTATGATTGGAATGTATTGACAATGTTCCAATTACTCTGCTTTTACTTGTTTTTCTGTTATAACAGCTGCATAATGAAGATGATTCTCCACAAACATCTGATGGTTCACGGCCAAATCTTCCCACAGAGTCTCCTCAAACATCAACTGAAACTGACATAGCCCCACCACCTTACAGCAGTGTCACAATGGGAGCAACTGCATCAGCCACAGGTCAGAGGTTTAGAAAGACCTCCACTTTATTTTTAATATTTGGGATTTGAGCATTTGTGAAGGGGACAATATTTATTTCCTGTGTGGTTAGCCCTGCCTTCTTGAATCACTGCAGTCCATCTGGTGAGCAGTTCACAGTGCTATTAGGGTGACTGTCCAAATTTCTGAGTCTGTGACTATGAATGAATGTTGATATGTAGTCAAGTTAGGAGAGAGGGTGCCTTGACTTGGATAGTGGCGAGCTTCTTGAGTACTGTTAGAGTAGCACTTATGTATCCAGGCAAGTGGACAGCACTCTCTTGGCTTTTGTCTTTTAGAAGGACTTTGGGAAGTCAGAGTTGAGTTGCTCACTGCAGATTTTCCAATCTTTAACCTGCTTTTATGACAGGTCCAGTGAAGTTCCTGGTCAGTGATAACCTCCAGGATGTGAAGAGTGGGGAATTCAGAAATAGTACCATGATTGAATCAAGAGACCTGATTGGTTTTATTGTTTTATTTGTTCATGGGATGTGTGCACGCAGTAAATGCTGGCCACGCCATTCAGAGGACAATTAAACAACAACTGTGTTGCTGTGCGTTTGGAATTGCATGGAGGCAAGACTAGTTGAAGAAGTTACATTTCCTTCTCTAAGAGACATTAGTGAATGAGAATTTCACCACCATGGAGAGGTTTAAATTCATGTCCGGAGAACGTTTAGATTCTGGATTACTAGACTAGCTGCTACATCTTCATATTCACATTAGATTCTGGATTGTTGGTGATGGTTATTTTCTGGCAATTGTTTGGTTGCTACTAATTACCTCAAACATATTATCCAGGTCTTGTTGCATGCACCACAGCCATCTTCATTATCTGAGGAATTGAGAATGAAACTGAATTCTCTGCATTCATCAATGAAATTCATCAATGAAATTCCCCACTTTTGGCCTTGCTGTAGAGGAAAGGTTATTGATGAAGCAGCTGAAGATGGCTGGCCTTAGAAGCTGCAATGAGGTAGACCTACAGTGATATCCTGAGTTTTTTGAGACGTATCCTTCCCTATTCCATTTGTCAGAGTGGGTAAGATAGAAACGTGAAGCAGGATGTGTCTTGCAACAACTGCAAGGATAGAAACTGAAATAAAAAAGGCAAGTCCCCAGAAGTGTTAGAAAACACAGTTTGCATAGAGGATATATTGGGAATCTGAACGGAACAGATGAATTTAATGGAGTCAGATTTTATTGATTCTACCTATACTTTAAATTATTTGAATTCAAGGTGGAAGTATATTAGGTTATTAGTTTTTCTATTGCGACTTAGTAACGAGGAAAATTGGTGACTTTTAATATTTACAAATTCTAAACATGAGGTGGCAAATTGTCAAGTTGTAAGAGACGATCTTACAGTGCACAGGATAGGAGGATGGTGCTGACTCCAGGATACCTGTAGGACCAATATGTTGTACTTCGTCTTTTATGCCTTTGTGACTCAACATGCTTGAGCTTCCATACTTGTGAAGGACAGGATCTTCTTCATGATAGTGCTTGATTATATATCCGCTTGCTAGACTTGATTCGTTTTGTTCTCGAGGACAACCAAATTATTTAGTCAAGTTAATTTTTACCTTTAATCTTTGAACAGATGTTCCGATTAGGTACTGTTATCTGTTAGTATTGTTCTGTGAAGTATTACAAAATATCAAATAAGGTAACTGGAATATGTTTAAAATTTTCTGATTGGTGTGCACAAACTGTGATTCAAAGAAGAGCTTGGGGTTGAGTTGGGTGTAGAGGGCAAAGTGGCAGCAGGGTTTAAGAGGAGAAATTATTTTTGTCAAAAATCAGTGCTTTGTGTTGTTATCGACTCGTTAATATTTCACTTTCAGATTTCCACTGGTCATTTCCTACTGGGCAGTTAGCATAATTTTCCAAATAGCAACCTGAGTTTTGGACTTCATAGTTTCAGTTTTTCATGGCATTGGTAAGACCACATCTGGAGTACCATGTACAGTTTTTTTTTCCTTTATTTAAGGAAGCATCTACATGCTTAGGAGGCTGTTCAGAGCAGATTTACTAGATTGATACCTGGAATAAATTGGTTGTTTTATGAGGAAAGGCTGGGCAGACTAGGCTTGTTTGCATTGGAATTTAGAAGAGTGGAGGGTGACTCCATTGAAGCATATAAGAGCTGAATGGCCTTGACAGAAAGGGCATGGAAAGGAACTTTCCTCTTCTAGATAAGTCCAGAACCGTTTGGGGGAGGGGGCAACGTGTTTAGAAACTGGGGGCCTCCCTTTAGGATAGAGATGAGAAGTCTTTCTCTCAGATGATTGTGCGATTATGAAACCCTCTCTCGTGCGATGGAGGTACTGTATACTATTAAGGCAGAGGTAAACAGATTCTTGTTTGGGGTAGGTGAGAATGTCAAATTTGAAATGCAATAGATCAGCCATATCTTTTAGAATGGCAGAACTGTTGAATGGCCTACTTCTGTCCCTGTTTCATATGTATTTGAAGCATTATTTTAATGATGACCCAGTCATTTTTCCAACTGTATGGGGAAGTGCCTTTTATGTAAGCTATACACAAATACCCTGATAAATCTTAATGATGGTTAAGATTGTATTTTGCATTGGCAACTTAATTTATGAGATTGGTTTGCAAAACTGCTGTTTTTTCTATTGGTCTGAATATTGTTGACAAGAAAAAGAATGGAAATATTATTGTCAAGTTTGTATATATTAGGACAAAAGGGACTGAAGATGCTGGAGCAAACTTTTCAACATCTTAATGTTGACTGTTAGAAGAAGAAAATTGTTCAATTCTTCTAAAAGAATGACTTTTCCTCCCTGTTCTGTGCTGATATTTTCTGAATCCCCTAACAATATCAATTGCGCCCTCCTGGCCTAATGCTGGGTCTTAAAATGTTACCTCAAGGAATTAGATCAGTATCCTTATGTACACTAAGGACACCCTTTTCTTCCTCTCTACCACTTCTTGCTGCAAACCCATTTGCGTGCTTTTGGATTTCGGACTAAAACGAAGAAGGGTATAAGAGAAAATGGCTGCAAGTATACGAACAGTAAGTTTTGACAAGCATTTAGAAGGGAAAAGGGTAATTGAAGAGACCATGGGATTTATAGACCGAGACTAGGAAATTAGTAGGAATAAGGAAATGGTGTAAGCATCGAACAGGTTTTTTTTAATCTGTTTTTGCTGTTGACAACAAAAATAATATCCCAGAAATAGTTGTAAATCAACAGGTGAAAGGATAGCAGTGTTAAACAATTCCAAAGATATTCACAAGTAGAGTTAAAAGCTGACAAATCTCCAGGACATGATTAGCTTCATCTGAGGGTCTTGAAAGAAGAGGCCATGGAGATTGTAGAGGTATTGGTGTTAATTTTCCAGACTTGTCTGGATTCTGGAAAGATCTCATTAGATTCAATAGTAGCAAAAGTAATTTATCTTTTCAAACAAGGAAAGAGAAAGAAAGCAGGTAATTACAGGCCAGTTCTCTTAACAGCTATCCCAAGGAGAATGCTAGAAAACTATTATTAAGGAGGTTATAGCAGGGGCCTTAAAAATTCTAAATGCAATCAGGCTAAGCATAGTATGGCTGTGTGAACAGGAAATTGCAATTGAATAAATTGAACTTTTTGAAAAAGTCACATGCAACATGAATAAAGAAGAACCTGTAGATGTGGGTGTGGATTTCCAAAAAAATGTTTGATAAGGTGATACATCAAGGTTATTACACAAAATAAGAGCTCATAGTGCAAGGGTAATGTATTATGTTGACTGTTAACATACTGTTGACATATTATGGTTTGAGGATTAGTTAGCTAACAAGCAGAGAGTAGAGATAAATGGGTCATTTTTGAGTCAGCAAGCTGTAACTCGTGGAGTGCCACAGGAATCAGTTGGGGTCTTAACTGTATCACAATTGATATAAATGACTTGGAAGAAGAGACTGAATGTATAGTTGTTAAATTTGATAATTTAAAAGGAGGCAGGAAAGTAAATTTGGATTTGGCAAAGTAAAGAGCAGGCAAAAATCAGTAGATCAGATAATTGGTGGAAAAAAATGGGAACTTGTCCACTTTGGCAAGATCAATAGAAATATATTATTAAAATAAAGATTTCAGAATCTTAATAGAGAGGAATATGGCTCTCCTGGTAATGAATTACAAAAGGCTAGTCTGCAGATACATCAGGAAATTAGAAAGACAAATGGAATGTTGGTGTTTATTGCAAGGGGAATAGAATATTCATGTATGGAAGTTTTGCTACTGTTGTATATACTGTTGGTGAGTCTGCACCTGCCATGTTGTATATCGTTTTGGTCTCCGTGAGAGAGAATATAATAACGTTAGAAATAGTTCAAAGAAGGTTTGCTGAACTGATTCCTGGGATGGGTGTGTTTTTGTGCAAGGAAATGCTGGTCAGGCTGGGCTTGTATCTGTTGGGAGTTTAGAACCATATAACATCCTGAGAGGACTTAATAGGATGGATGCTGACAGGATGCTTCGCCTTGGAGAAGAGATTAGAGCTGAAGGGCACATATTGTTTAAAAAAGAGATCTCCTATCTGAGACAGAGATTAGTTTTTTTTTGATGGTCACTGTTTTGTGGATTTTTCTTCCCTAGAGTGCAGTTTACTTACAGTCATTGAATGTGTACAAGGCTGAGTTAGATTCTTGATTGACAGAATGGTTACAAAACAGAAAGATGCCATTCACCACGTCTATGTTGGCTTTGTGAAGGTACATTTCATCTATTGTCACTTGGCACCATCTGACTGTGCCCTGCACGCTGTTCCTTTTCATGAAATAAAACAATTTCCTCTTGACAACCTTGATTGAATCTGCATCCTCAATCTCAGATACTGCATTCCAAATCTTCACCACTCACTGCATGAAATAGCGTTTACTTACGTTGTCCAAAGTGTCTTTTGTGAATGACCTTAAATCTGCTCGTTCGTTTTTCACAATCCTTCCATCACTGGAAATAGCTTTTCCCTCTCCACTCTGTCTGGATGCCTCATTAATTTGGAAATCTTTATTAAGCTCCTCTCTGCATTCTTTTGGAGAAAAAAGCTTGGGTGTCTTCTTCTTGTGCTACTTGTTCAGACTAAACCAAGATAGGAGCACATTCCTTCAGCTGTGCATCATATTGCAAAAATATTTAACAAATAGTGCTAAACTCCACCTCCAAAGCAGTGTTCACTGTTTTTCTGTCTCCAGCTTTCCTTCCCCGTGCAACTAAAACACCTGCTCTGCATTTGTCACATTCTGACTTTAAAGCTGTCCTTACTGACCTCCCACCATCCTTTCTTCAGAAGCTCCAAAGGACAGTTGCCTTCATACTGTTGTGCATTAAGTTTGTTCATTCATTACTTCTGTCGTCATTGACCAATAAAGACACGCTTCTGTAACAAGTAGAATTTAAAATTTTTATCTTTGCCTTCAAATTTGCATGAAAGCCTATAAAACGTATTGTGTAAACCTCATTCCTTTAGATTTGATCTTCTATGCATCTGCCTCTGTCCCTCACCACCGGTAAATCTCTGTACCTGCCTACCACCTCAGTTCTCGCTTGAATTTTCAAACCTCATCTTTGTGTCAGCATTTGGTGCTGTTAATATGTTTGTCAGCAATAGCAACTTGTATTTATATCGTACCTTTAACATGGTAAACTTGTCACAGGCACCATTCTAAAGGAGATTTGATTCTGAGCCACCTAAAGGCATATTTAGGCCAAGAATAAGGTTTATAGAGTGCTCAAAGTGGGAAAGGGATGTAGAGAAATTTACAGATGGATTCTCTAAGCTTGTTGCCTTGGTAGTTGAAAGCCTGGTTACCATTGCTTATGATTATAATTAGGGGTGCTCAAGAGACCTGTATTGGAGGAATGCAAATATCTGCTGGTGTGGATATAGTGAGATTATGGAGACAGAGGGGGACAAGGTCATGTGGATTTGAAAGTGACGATGAAAATTTCAACGCTGGTGTTGCTTAACCTGAATGTCAGTGTAGGTCAGTAAAAACATAGGAGCGAAGAATGACTAGGACTTGGAGTGAGTTAGAAACATCAATGGCAGAGTTTTGGTGATCTGAAGTTTGTGGAGCATTGAACGCAGGAGGCTGGCCACGAGTATCCACTGGAATAGTCAAGCCGAGAGGTAATCAAGGCACAGATGAGGATTCCAGCAGTTGATGAGCTGAGGCAGGAATGGAGATGAACAATATTGCCGTCGTGTTAATAAGTTGACTCAATGATTGCACAGATATGTGGTTAAAAGCTCACCTCCAGGTCAACACTCGTACCAAGGTTGCAGTCTGGCTTAGCCTCAGATGACTTATGAGAGTGAGTATTGGAGTTGTTGGCTAGGATTTGGAGCTTGTGATGGAGACTAAAGACCATTTTCTTCTTTCTGTCCACAGTTTACTTTGAGAAAATTTCTGCTATTCCATTGATGTCTGATTAGTAGTCTGACAATGGAGGGGCTGACAGTTGGTGAGGTAGACGTCTAGAAACTATTGATTCCTTCCATATTATGTTTCCAATGAGAAATATAAGAGAGCTAGTGATAGACCTTTAGGGGCACCGGAGGTAATGGTGGGACCAGAAAGAGAAGGCATTGCAGGTGACTCTTTGGCAATGATTAACTGGATAAAGTGGAAGCAGGTGAGAACAGTTAAATCCAACTAATGGCCGTGGATTAATGTTTAGATGGATGAGTTCTGGAAAATACATTTAGGATTTTGGAATAGAAATAGGGGTGGAGATGGGAGAGTAGACTGCAAGGTCAGAGGGAGATAATCAGTGTTTGACCTGTGAGGAGAGTAATGATGACAGAATTGAAAGAAATCGGGATGTTGTCTGAGGAGAGGGAGCATTTAAGTATTTTGACTAACATCTGAGCCAGGAAAGGAAGATGGCTGGTCAGTAGTTCAACAAAGCATAGAATTGAATTGAATTAGCTTTTGCACTCAAGTGAGTACAGTGAAAAGTTGATAAATCGCCACTTACAATACCATCTTTGGTACAAAGATACCTCGGTACAGCTTCTTCATTTACAGATTAGTAACTAATGTCACCAACGCATTGTGCCATCTTAGATACAGTGTACCGAGGTACAGTCCTTAGTTTCAGAATGGAGAACTGTAAAAGTGTGTGTTGCAGATAAATTGTGTTTAAAGAGAGCAAGAAGAGTGATAGGAGAGGAACCCGTACTATTTTGTAGTGTCTTTGAATTATTTTGGTATGTTGAAGGTGATTTGTAAAATTATCATCTTTGTTTTTCCTTTAATTTTATGTCACCTCTCTTGTACTGTATCCTCCTTTTCCACTGCACTCTCATTTGCACCTTTTTTCACATTGTGCCTCATTTGCCTCCTTCCCCTTACATTTCTCTTTTCACCTCTGTTCTGTGCCCTCCCTTTGTTTGCCCCTCTGACACAAATATGCCCCCTTTATCTCTTTCCTGGATCTTATCTATTTTCTTTATCTTTGCTCTTCTGATTCAGTATCCTGTTATTCTTCGTCACTTTATTTATTTGATTCCTTGCCCTTCACTCATGGGTACGTGTTGTTTGATCCAAATTGATAGTTTTGTTTAGGGCACAAGATTCAGGTACTTCTTGAAGTGTGATTGCAGCTCATTGTTGAAATAGGAGGCTGGAGCTTTACACTGAAATTGAATGTGGCATAGACTTAGGAATTCTAGAAACTGGCAGGAGGTGAAAAAATGTGCGTTTCTGAAGCACAGATACCTTGTACTACCACTTGGTAGATTTACGTAAGAAGATAATGCTGTTTTCTAAACCACAAAGACTCCCTGAAAAAGATGGTTATATCTTGTCTCTTTCAACAAAATAGGATAAAACCACTTATGTGACATACATTGAATATCACCTTGTCTTTTATGAAAAAAAAACTGTATTCTACGTACCTGTGTTATAAATTTGATCATGAGCATGGTGCAAGAGTTCCTCTAACTATAAGAAGAGAGTAAAGAACATGGTTATAGTTTTGTATTCTTGTATCGACTATCAATATTGGAATAATCACATTTTGATATAACTAACATCATCCATTGAACTTTTTAAGCTCCTTACTTTGAAATAGTCTTGTTTTCATCTCCCCACACGGAAGCTTAAAGTAATTGTTAACCCTATCTTCTCTTTCAACAGAAACTGATCTCCCCAGTGATCTTATGCCAGTGCCACCACCTTACAGTGTTGCCACCTCCCTGCCAACATATGATGAAGCAGAAAAAGCTAAAGCTGCTGCAATGGCAGCTGGAGTAACAGAACCTGGACAGAGAGTGAGAATTATTTTTTAAATGCAAAATTTCAAGCTGATACTGTAGTTCTTTTGCTGACAAACCGTGGATTTGCAAAATGATCTGATGATTGCAAGTTGGGGGTTTTCAGTAGGGATTCATGAACAGCGGAAAGCTTTAGTGAGTTTTGCTCTTGTAATGATATTACTCAATAAGATATGGTTCACCACTAATTCCATGAAGCAAGTGCCCCATGTCCTGTGAACAGGTACCCAGTGTAGTATAAGTGAATTTTTAATCACTTTAGTCAGTCTGATTTGATTCAAGCATTTTTTAATACCGCAAGATTGACTAATGAGACAGCGTGCATATTTCTTTCAGTTATTTAAGTCTACAGAAGTATTAATTTTTCTTGAGCATAGCCACACTTGCAAAAAGCATTGATCTGTCAAGGCTATTTGTCCATCTTCTGAAAACTTGAATGGCAATACATTGTTCAACATTTTATATTTAGTCTGTACTCATTTGTGTCACTGTATGTTATCTTGTGTTTTTCTGCTTGGACACCTGGACAGTTTAGGGAGCCTAGGAATCTGTTTGATGAAATTCTACAAGGTACATCTCAGGTACAGTTCTCTCCTACATATATAACTGTGGAGTGCTTGCATTACAATTTCAAAAGTGTAGTTTGCACATTTTCCTAGTTGTTCATTATTTTCAATTTGTTATGCTGTCTTCAGTCACAATTATAGTTATCAAAGGTGTTTTCTGTTGCAAATTAACCCTTCCATAAACAGAATCTGTTTTGAATAAAATATCTTCTGACTGATATTGACTTCCTATTTGAGTTTATACTGTCTCTGTTTAAAATGATCAGAGACATTCAAGAAAGTAACTTGGCTTAACTAACATCATTATAGCTTTTGCGGAGTGCAGGAGATCCTAAAAGATGGCTTTACAAGTGGCAGTAGATCTAAAGATTTTTGGATGTGTACAATGTATATAACCTTTTTTTCTTTTAGTTCAAACAGAAAACACTTGTTCATTCTTTCCTTTTTTCTTTATTAATTGAATAATGTTGAAGAACTGATGTTTGTGAACTGAAATGTTTTAAATTGTTTTGAAAAATCATTTATAAGCAAAACTGTCATACAATCTGAATTTCATAGCAAATGTGGAAATCTTGTAGCAAGTACTGATAGAGTTTAAATTACCAGAACAGCATTGATGAAAGTTAGTTTACCTGTCACAACATGCAACACATTTATTGCATGACTGTGAATATATCTCAAACACAACAATGATATAGTGCAGGAATTTTGTAATGCATGGTATGCTCAACCAGGTGTTGAAGAACCCCAATGTAGGATTATTTACATTCAATTTGAATTTTCATGTTTTAGATCAATAGTCTATCTCCTTAACCAATGAGTTTTAGGAATTGAAAGAATCAGGAACAGTGGAAGAGGAAAAAGGTGACTACAGGTAATTCTGGCAGAGATGTAGTAATAAGGAGGGAGATTTGATTTGGGTTCGGTGGGAGTGTGGTGGGGGCATCATCTTGCTTACTGGTTAGGTCTGTCCAATACACTTCAGCTTAATTTTTTTTTCTTTGCTGAACTTGCTGGAAGGATGAGTTTACAACGACTTGATGAGGACACTTAGTCAGCTGGGAACCTAGTGAATGGTGGCATCAGCATTCTTTCTGCTCATCCAATGAGATTTAAGGATTGAAGAAGAAACAAGAATAACAGAGAAAAGGTGAATCCAACCATCCAGTCAAGCACAAGGAAACAAAATTAAAGTTTTGTAATAAGAAACAAAGGGAACAAAATGAGGCAAAGTAAGAAAAAGAGATAGAAATATTCAACCAAATTTTACATTTTAATTATACCGTTTGTGAATTAGAGAGGTTGCTTATCAGATCATTAGAATCAAACATATTTAGAAAGCTATGCTCACGGATAAGTTCCAACCTATCTTTCTGCAATGATTCAGTATCAATTAGGTCAGAACTTTTATTCCATGTCAGCAGTACAGAAGGGATTTTGCAATCTTGACATGGAGGAAGTGTCCCTGATGTTTGGATTTTTTTGTTCAGGTGGTTGAGTTTGTGGCAGTTGGTGGTGAACAGTGAGAGTTTAGCCCACAGCTCCCTGTATGAGTTTTGGTCCCGGTCTAAAGGTTGTTCATTGCAGAAGTGGGTTGTTATGAAGATCAGCCGTGGTGCTTCAGCACTTAGTTGTGCCTGTGCCAAATATAATAAGTCAAAAAACAGTGCTGGAACTCTTTCACTCCACTCTCCACCTGCTTCTACAGTCCCCATGTCCGATCTGTGCCAACCCATGCCACCTCATATTCTAATCACTCCACCTTGGCCCCTCCTACTGTTCATGCAAACCTTTGCTCTTTATAGTATCTATGCCAACTTAGTACCACGTGTGCCCCACCGAACACCCATTGCTGTTGCACCCATTACACAAGTATCCACCTTGCATAGACTATGTGATAAATGCTGAGAGTCAATGAAACTCTTATGTGCCTGTTGGTGAATTCACTATTTCCGTAAAAGGTTCTTGATAAATTGAATACACGACATTTAACGTGATTCCTTATTAAAAACAAGCATTTATATTCATCGTTCTACTTAAAATTCTTGGAGCTACCAATCAAGCTGTGTACTAAAAGGCACCCCAACACGATAATGATGGGTCGTGAAATCAGTCATGCAACACTAATTCTATAATGATACCCTTCTGACTTATGCCATCAAATGAAACAAACTGGCAAGCACTGATCTCTCCTTTAACATTATGGACAGTTCTTTTCAAATATTTTAAAGGACAAAGGATTTAAATGCTTTGATAGCCCAAAAGCCTCTGACAACTTGTGCGTATGCATGTCTACTTATAATAAATACCTTTCCCTACGTGTATCCAGATCATGTCTAAAATGGTATTTTTTCCTCTTCAAAGAAGCATGGTAAATATAGATCTTATCTTATTTTGATAGGTCTAAAGTGTGCAAGTCATGTTTTGGAAATCCCACAAATGAAAATTGGATTCGACTGCGACTTCACTTCAATATGTGTAATTAATGTGAACCATGGATGTTCAAAGTTCACTCCTTCCCCTTTTTCCCTTTTCCTGTGTAATTACCACAGGGTCATAAAAATAACAGGAAGATTAAAGGTGTGATGCTCTTTGTGAAGCAAACAACAGACCAGCAAGTTTGCAGATTCCTGGCATCTTCCTTAATCCTTACATTTTTAAATGTCTATATAATTTTTCACAGCTATTTTGTTATTGTTTATTTGACAGTGTATAGTAATGAATTATCACAGTAATATTTCATTTAGTATAGAAAAGTTAGATGGTCTCTAAGCAGCAGTTCATAATTTTTGAAAGAAAGTGTAAAGGTTTGATGTATCACTTGCATTATAGAGTTGGGTGTATGGGTTTACTAAATCTAAATTATAATCCTGGACGATATTGCCAAATTCAGTATCTGACTAGGCACATTAGCCTTTATTTTATAAAGTTGACAAACTTTGAGATACAGTTCCTTCCCAAGAGAATAAAGTCACAAGGTTCCATGGATTTGAGCAGACAATAAACAGTAGTAATAAATTGTATAACATTCACAGTTGACCTGAGTAGATGTGGAAAAAACATATACCATGCTCAAACTCCCACAAAACACATCATATTGCAAATGTGGTCGAAACAGGTCCCACAGATTCTTCAGTAATCCTGCTGCCTTAAAAACATTCATAGACTCTGCTTCCACCAACATTTTAAAGGAAGAGTAATTCAAAGCATGTTATTGCTCTGAGAGGAAAAAAAGGTCATCCATCTTAAATGGGTGACTCATTATTTTTAAACATTTGTGCCTGGTTCTAGATTCTTCTTTAAGAGCAAGCATCCTCTCCTATCCACTATTATCAAGAACCCTCAGGATGTTGTGTTCCACTCAAATCATTTCTTATTCAATGGATACAAGGGTAGTCTGTCCACCCTTTCATCAGTCAATCTTTCCATTCCAGGTATTACTCCAATGCATTTCCATCCTTACTCCCAACCTTTCTGTCATTAGCAAATTTAGTAATCATACGTTTGCCAAGTAGAAAATTACCCATTTTTGCCTACATTCTGTTTCCTGTTAGTTAGCTAATCTTCAATCATAGCAATATATTGCTTACTGCGTCCTGCATTACTTGCAGACACTCTTCAGCTTTTTCACACACAGCTCCACCAAGCTGGTACTGCTGCTGGATTTTTCCTGAGCTCCAAACACTGCTCAATTACACCAAACACTTAATGTTTGTGAACTTTCAATCTCGCTCTCTCTGGTGCACTGAACTACCAATGACACACAACTTCTTCTGAGCCCTAACCTTAAAACATAGCTGCCAATTGACTCCTGGAATTTATTTCTGAACACTGACTGCATTAACCTATGCAACATCCCTTGATTTCTAACTGAGCCCCAACTGCACAGAACTAGTTCCCTTCTCAGTAGTTCAGCTAAATAGTACTTCTCTGCATGGAGTCTGCATCTGTCTTTCAACTCCAGATAATGCTTTGAACTGCTCTTCGGTGACCCTTGAACTGCTTTGGGTGACCTTTTGGAAACATGCCAAACCCTACTCCTATTGCAAGGCAGGACTGAATGCGACTAGTGTATTTCGGAACACTAAGTTCTCTGAATGTATGCCAACAAGTGCGAACATTGTAACAGAGTGCAAAATGAATTCCAAAAAAAATCTCACAATCTAGAATCCTTAAAGCATTAAGCAAAAATTGGTTCCTTGTCATAATACGAAAAGAAAGGACAGCTATCAATGTCAATAGGTTGAAACTCTCATAATTTAAAAGCTTGAATGCCTTTAAAAGTCTATATCGCTGCTCAAAACAGACTCTAACCTCATGAAATTAATACAGCACTAATTGCATTTCTGTCCTTTTGCATTGTCTGAGGTTAAAGATCACGTTGTTAGTGGGATTCTCCATCACAATCAGTCTATAGGTTGCATATTGGGAAAGAAGCTGCTGAGGATTCAACAAATGCTGACTTGTCCCACATGATGAAAGTATCTGTAATGGAGACATGCAAGCTTATTCTGGTGACACTTCTTTGACTATTAAACTTGACTAATTTGGCTTTCTCTGGCAGGGAGTTGTGGCTGATGGGATCATTCATTGGAGTACAGAAATTTTGAATTGACTCGAGGTCAGGCAGCTTCTGTAGAGAGGACAGCTAAGTTAATGTTTCACCTATGGAGTCTTCAGCGCTGGAAGATATTAATTATAAAAGTGTTCAAAAAGAAACAGGAAATGGGAAAGACATGCACCTCTATGTTGGAACATTGCAGAATCTTAAACATAGACGGATTAGAGAAGAAATGGGATGGAGAATCGACTTAAGTGACTGGGAGCTAGTGGTCACGCTTGAGGATAGTTGGTGCTGTTCAGCGAAGCAGTCACACAATGTGTGTTTGGTTCTATAATGATGATTATGTGGATATTATATGGATAAGGTTGTTCTTGTAGAAGTGAATGCAGTAAGCTTGATTAAAGTTGACCACAACAATGATGTCTCAAAAGGAAGGAGTGTTTAGCAACCTAAATAGTGGTGTGGTAGGTGTGAATGGGCAATTGATGGATTTTGTGTGCTTGAACATAAATTATGATGTCAGTTTACAAAGAAGCACAAAAATTCAACATCTTTGCTTTCACCTTCCGCTATGTATCAAGAAAGGACAAAGTTGACTACATATTGTTACCTTTCAGAATCAGGATTATGGCAAAAGTAACATTTAAATATTTGTACCAAAATGAAATTATAGCATTCATTGAGCAGAATTTAATTTAAACATTTATAAAATAAATGTGGTTTATGGATTTTTGTTTTCTAAACAAATTTCAAGTAAATTAAAGTATGAAGCAAGATAGTAATGGAGTGTTAGAAATTTGTGGAGATCTTATGCTGCCGTTTGCTTTTGAACAAGCAGTGTATCTAATATTTTAAATAAAAAAATGATGTGCTCCACTGTCTGACTCACCTCACTAAACCGTGGGTATAATAGTGGCTACAATAAACTCCCAGTTTGAGTCCCAGTTCTCCCAAGAGAAATACCCTTTCTCTTTAAATGAAAATCACCCCTATTTGGACAAACATTTGAGCAGGCTGAACGTTGACTGACTTGAATACAACTGGTGTTTGAGCTGATACTAATTGGAATATGGCCAGTTTTAATATGAATTCTATACAATTTTTTGCTTTTGCCTTAGAAGTTTGCAAACAAACTGCAAATACGCAACTGGCATCTGAAGTCTACTATAACAAGAAAGCATGTACATGCATGAACATATTGAGGAAGAGATCTTCTTTTCTGTGAAAACAAAGCATCAAATCTTCTGTAACTCGCACCATAAGGTTAAAACCATAAATCGTAAGATGAAAAGAACTCAAGTTGACAAAGAGCAGTGCAACTGACAAAAGTCTTGATGAAGGCATCTGTTTGGTTGGTTTCAGTTAACTAGAGAAGGACATTCAGGTGGAATCTTGTGTGCAGCGGCTTAAAAATTAGCCTATTCTTTAGGCACCAAAAGATTCAAACTTAGATTGACTACTTTAAGTAGCTTGATTTAAAATTTAAGACAAT